CACGGTTCACGGAGTACCCTGAGCTGGCCACAGGCTCTCTCTGTCTCCCTGGTTGGCCTTCACACTGTCTCCCACACATCACTATGCCTGGCTTTGTCATTTAAAAAAATTGCTACATTTCAACCTCTCTCCTCTCCCTTTTCCCTCCCTCTCACAACCACCTCTGACTTCAGCTCCAGGGACTGTGGGAGCTTTTCTGGCCTGTGTGGACACCTGCACACACATGGCACACACATGCACAGGCACATGGCCTAGGTCCCAGACCTGTTTGCTCCTCGCAGACTTAGTTTTAGGCTCTGTCCATGTTCATCTGTGTTTACCTTTCCTTAGGCCTAGACCAGCGACTCTCCACCTTCCTGATGCTGTGACCCTTTAATACAGTTCCTCATGTTGTGGTGACCCCAACCACAAAATTGTTTCATAGCTACTTCATAACTATAATTTTGCTACTGTTATGAATTGTAATGTAAATATTTGGTGTGCAGGATATTTGACTCACAGGTTGAGAGCCACTGGGCCCTGAAGCCCCACATGGGGCAATGTTACTAAATGTAGGGTTGAGAAAAACTGTCTCAGTTTAACATTTTGAGATGGCTTTGTGTTGCTGTGTATGAGTGGATCCTTGTTTGTTTGTTTGTTTTTAATAGAGAATATTGTTCTTTTATAATGAATGGGCCACACTTCCATGCTTTTATTGACAAGATGGCTTTCAGTTTTGTTGCTGAAAACACTAATAAGAACGAGGCTTCTTGAATAGCCTTGCACAAGTCTATTGTGGCTATAAGTATGACAAGTGTTTCATAAGAAACTGCCAAGCAGTGGTCCATTGTATATACCATTTTATACTTGCCATAACAGTACACAAGCTCCCAGGAGATTCACACCCTCACCAACATTCGGTGCATCCATCTCATGGGCAAGATTGGATGATTTGCCATTTATGCTGGCTCATTTGCATTTCTTTGATTGATGGGTTGATGCTGAGGGCAGCTCTTCTTGTACTGACCTTTTATAGATCTTCTTTTGGGGAAGGTGGAGTTATTAGTTATTGTTGGCTTACAAAAGTTCATTACATATTGTGGAGATGAGCCCTCATCAGATGTAGGCACTAGGAATATGTTTTCCCAGCCTAAGACTTCCTAATGGATTTCTTAATGGCTTTATTGGTTTTTCTCTATATTTGTTTGTTTTGTTGTTTCTTGAGCCCTATTCTTATTTTTCTCTATAATTATTATCATTTGTTGTTGTCTGTTTGCTTTGAGACAGGGTCTGAAACTGTAGCCTAGTCTGGCTTTGAACTGGGGACTATCCCCTACCTCAGGCTCCTGAATGTTAGGATTACAGGCTAAGAGTCACCATGCCTGGCTCAACTCAAGTGTTTCTGTATTTTTATTTATGGCCTTTCTTCTATTTACCTTGAATTTATTTATAATGTATTTTTTTATTCTTGTGTGTGCATGCATGTGCATGCGTTCATTTGTTTTGTTTTGTTTTTTGTTTTTGTTTTTCAAGACAGGATTTTTCTGTGTAGCTTTTTAGAGCAGGCTGGCCTTGAACTCACAGAGATCCACCTGCCTCTGCCTCCCAAGTGCTGGGATTAAAAGCATGTGCCACCACCACCCAGCATGTGTGGCCATTCTTGTGTGCACACATGCCATGCTGCATGCATAGAGGCCAGAGGACAGTTTGAGGGAGTCAGTTGTCATCCTCCACTTTATTTTCCCGGTGCTCTGAGTACTTCAGGAAAGTGCACATCCTCATAGCCTCCAGGCAGTTCTGTCTCCACCTCCCACCTCACTTTAGTTACATGCTATGCCATATCTGACTTTATGTGTGGGTTCCCGGGAGTCAAACTTGCATTATAAGCGTCTGTACCTGTGGAGCCACCCTACAGGCCCCAGCTTTGTTTGTACCTTGGGATAAGACTCAGGCCCTCATTCTTCCACTTGCAAGTGCTTCACCAACAAGGTACTTCCTCTAGCTCCTTTTTAGGAGCTTAGGTTGTTTTTGTTTTCCAAGACAGGGATTCTCTGTGTTTCCCTGGCTGTCCTGGAACTAACTCTGTAGAGCAGGCTGGCCTCGAATTCACAGAGATCCGTCTGCCTCTGCCTTCCGAGTGCTGGGATTAAAGGCGTGTGCTCCATCACTGCCTGGCTTAAAAGCCCCGTATCATTGATTTTCATCCAACCTTCTTTCCTTTGCTTTTTCTTTTTTTGTTTATTTATTGGTTTTGTTTGCTTTTTGCTGTTGTTTTTGTTTGTTTGTTTTGAGGCAGGACTTTCTGTGTATCCTTGGCTGTCCTGGAACTCATTTTGTAGATCGGGCTAGCCTTGAATTCACCATCTTCTTTCCTTTTGGCCTTTCTGAGATAAAATTTTACTCTGTAACCCAGAATGGCCTAGAACTCATGGCAATCCTCCTGCCTCAGTTTCCTGAATACTGGGATTACAGTCATGGCCACTGTGTCTGGGCACCTTTCTTCTCCTCCTTCTCCTTTTCCGTCTTTGAGATAGAGTTTCTCTGTGTAACAGCCCTGGCTGTCCTAGAACCCAATTTTTAGACCAGGCTGGCCTTGAACTCGCATAAATTCACCTGCCTCTGCTTCCCAAGTGCTGGGATCAAAGGAGTGCACCACCATTCCTGAGCTGATAGAAGAATTTAAAGGCTATGATATTCTCTCTGGGCACAATGCCACCCACCCTCAGCAGATCTTGACATCCCATGTCTTCATTATCATTCAGTTCAAACTTTACCTTGCAATTTTCCTTCTCCAACCTGTGGGCTTATTACAAGTGTATTGTTTCACTTTCAAACACTTCAGATTTTTCTAAACATTTATTTGGATTTTAACTTATTACCACTGTGGTCAGGTCCATTTTATGTACCAGTATCTAGCATATCCTGGCAACCACAGGATAGGCTTTTGAAAAGAATGTGTATTCTATAATTTCTGTATAGTGTTCTATAAATATTAATTAGATCAGATTGGTTGATAGTGGCTTCTGAATCTTTTATATCTACTTGTGCCCATTTCTGAAAAAGAATGTACATATCTTCAACTATGGTTGTGCTGTATCTGTTCCTCTCTGTAGTTCTGATTTTTTTATTTCCTTATTTACTTTGCTTCAGATACTTAACAGCTATGTTTAAGTGATGTAACATATTCTGTATTGTTCTATCTTCGGGATGAAATAATCTTCTCATTATGAAATTTCTGAGTTCTTTATCCTTCCTCTCCCCTTTTATTCTAGCCCAGCCTGTGCTTTTGTACTCAGGGTATCATTTCTGTAGAAAGCATGCCTCTCAAAGAAGGCAAGTCCTTCCTTCCGGCATCCATGCTGCTCTGTGCAGTTCACATTGAAGGCTCCTCCCTGGGGCGTGCCCTCCACATCTGTCTGCCCATCCTGACGTGATAGGCAAAATGTCTGTAGTTCCCCATCTGATTACAAAAGTTAATCAAACAAAAATCTCACTGTTGTTGGGAGTGTCCTTGTACAGGGGGCCCTATCTGGGGACAGATCTTCATGGGACACTAATCAGAGTGGCATTGCAGGTTCACATGTAGCTTGCCAGGGCTTCATCTGATGGGTAGCCAAATTTTACAGAGTGTGTGCCCAGGGTTTGGGTACAGATTAGTGGCAGAGTGCTTACCCACCTGCATAAGGTACTGCATTCTAGTTCAGCATCACAAAGTTTTCAGAAGCCCAGAGTGTCATACAAAGATAAGCCTGATCAAGAAAAGGGAAAAGACATGGAGAAATTACCTAGAAGGAGAGCCTAGACTTGAGGACTGTGACTCACTGACCACATCAGAGGGTTCACCTTAACTAGGGACAGGTGGGTGGTCTGCAAAGTACTTTGGAGAATTTCCCCTTGGATACATCCTCTAAATCAGCAGTTCTCAACCTGTGGGTCACGCATGACCCCTTTGTAAAGTGGAACAACCCTTTCACAGGGATTGCCTAAGACCCTCAAAAGACAGATATTTACATCATGACTCATAACAGTAGCAAAACTGAAGTTATGAAGTAACAGCTAAAATAATTTTATGGTTGGGGTCACCCACAACATGAGGAACTGAATCAAAAAGTCCCAGCATTGGGAAGGTTGAAAGCCACTGCTCTAAGTGATGCAGGAGCACAGAAAAATAAGAGAAGAAAGAGGGTAACATTTTCACCCAGGAGTCAGGGTATGTGGTTGGCAAGGGTAACGTCAGGAGCTTCTGAGGCTAGGCTGCCCTGAGGCCCCAGCACGCTGCTCTGTGTGTGCAGGCTACCCTGAGGCCTGGTGGGCAGGCTGTACAGTCTCTGGCTGACCTTGTTGGTAGAGACATGGTTGTGGTATGAAGGATATTCTATACCTGTGTCAGTGGAAAATGAAGTGCTTTGAGCACTTGTCACCACAGGGGGTAAGCAATTGCAGTTCTCTTGTCCAGAGCTTTTACTTTGTATTGTGAACAGGATACATGCCATTCCCAAGAAAATGTACAGGAAAGGGGTCTGATAACCAGGGAAAATCACCAGAAGTCTCATTCTACCCCCAGTGCAGCCCTGGCACACACTCTGGTGGGCTGTTTTGTTTGTTTGTTTGTTTTAATGAAAGTGGGAATTAATGAAATGGAAATAATGACCTTGTCCCTACGCAGCAAGCTCATCAGGCTGGGGTGGACAAAGATGGGTGCCTCTCCCATTCCTGACGAGGTCAAGGAGGGCTGCATGGAAGAGACAGTATCTTGTCATGATATCATTCTCTTGGTCTCCCTCCATGAGGAGTAGATATACTCAGGACCCATACCATGGAGGAATAGAGATATAGAACAGCCAAAAGGCACAACTCCTATGATCCCTTCCATCCTAGCCCCTCGTCCGTGCTGTGCACGGCCAGCATGGCTGCACAGGGTAGTCACACAAGGAAATTCCCTCCACCCCCTCTTTCTGCCCGTGTCCTGGTTCCTGCCCACACCACGTCTCTCTCCATGCTGGGTCTGTGTCCTCCTCCAGACAGCAGTGACAGTGAATTGGAGTTGTCCACTGTGCGTCACCAGCCCGAAGGCTTGGACCAGCTGCAGGCCCTAACCAAGTTCACCAAGAAGGAGCTGCAGTCCCTTTACCGAGGCTTCAAGAATGTGAGTGACCCTGTGTCCCCGGTCCCCATTAGAGTCTCTAGAGAGAGCCTGACCTACCTCCCCCTCTCCTACTTCAGGAAATGGGGTCTTGGCAGGGCTCACATTTGCAGGGCTATTGCGGGGGGGGGGGGTCAGCATGGTTACTGAGAAAGCCACCATGATCTTCTGTGAGAGCATCTAATGCTGTCCCTACTGGCAGCATTGACATGAAGGGAGCCTTCTGCCTGCCCTGCACAAGGCTTCATTAGCCCGGAGCACCTCATCCTCCCAGAGGGTGGACAGAGGTCAGCCCCGTGGAGTCAGGTATATAGCCAGGAGTTGCCAAGGCCACTGAGAGGTGTGACTTTTCACTGCAGGAGTGTCCCACAGGCCTGGTGGATGAAGAGACCTTCAAAGTCATTTACTCACAGTTCTTCCCCCAGGGAGGTAAGTCCATGGCCGGCCTCCCCCCCCACCCCCCGCTCCTTCCAAGCCCTGACTGTACCCCTTTACTGAGGAGGGGGCCTTATGGCCATCCCCACCTTCCTAGACACCCTCCCTTCTTGGAGGGCTTAATGCTGCTTCTGACTACCAGAGAGGAGCCTCCACTGGTCATGAGCTCCAGGCAGGGCTGTGTGAGAATGAAACAGACTTCCAGATAACCCAACTCCAGCCTTGCCCTTTGTCCCTGCAGATGCCACCACCTACGCACACTTCCTCTTCAATGCCTTTGATGCTGATGGGAACGGGGCCATCCACTTTGAGGTAGGTCCCTGCTGACCCGCATGTCCTGCCCCTGTGGTCTTCAGAGTGGTCCCCTCACCCCAGTACCAACTTCTTATGGCTGTTGATGAGTAGAGCCTTCCACAGGTCCCAAGTGTACTGCTGACTAGCTTTTTCTTCCATTCTGGGAGTTTGCAGCCAACTTAGTTAGCCAGCCAGGGAAGCTGGCAGGGACCCAACACAAATTGACATTTTTAAGAGGTAAAGGATTTTTGGGGTTTTTTTGTTGTTGTTGTTTTGTTATTTTTATGCTTTTTTGTTTGTTTGTTTGTTTGTTTGGTTTGGTTTTTTGAGACAGGGTTTCTCTGTATTGTTTTGGAGCCTGTCCTGGAACTTGCTCTGTAAATCAGGCTGGCCTCAAACTCACAGAGATCTGCCTGCCTCTGCCTCCCAAGTGCTGGGACTAAAGGCGTGCACCACCAATGCCCGGTGAGGTGAAGGATGTTTTAAAAATTTATTTATCATGTATCTGAGGAGGGGCTCATGCCACAGCAAGTGTCTGGAGGTTAGAGGACAACTTTCAGGAGTCAGTTTTCTGCTACCGTTTGGGTCCTGGGGATGGAACTCAGGTTGTCAGGCTTGGCGGCAAGTGCCTTTAACATGTTACCAGAGCTTGGTTTTGGTTATTTGAGACCAGGTCTCTCTGTATAATCCAAGCTGGTTTCAAACTAATAATCCTCCTGCCTTAGCCTCTAGAATGCTGGAGTACAGCCATGAGCTACCATGCCTGGCTCTCAAAAGAGTCAAGGTTTAATAGCAGGGTTTCAAATTACTCATTACTAAGCAAACAGGTCAGGAAACATGTTGAGTGGGCTTGAGCCCTCCAGGTTGTCATCCCAGCAAGGCATTATGAGTGATGGCCAGTGTTGCTCAGAGTGAGGAAAGAGAAGCCAGAATCCCCCACATCACTGCAGACAGCCTGGGCTCCCCATGGGCAGTGGTAGCATGGGTTCCTCCCAGGCCTGGCCACATGCAGTCATTTGAGACAGGCCCCATCTGTGGAGCCCATGTCCCTAAAAATAGCTGCAGGAGAAAAGCTGAAACCTCTTCAGAGAGGACCTCACCGAGAGCTAGCCTGATCGATAAGTGCCCCAGCTTGGCTTCCAAGGCCAAGGGCGGCCAGCAGGAAAGCGGTCTAGCTAGCACACAGCTCAGAAATGCCACGGACAGGCAGGCTGGGGTAATAATAACTCGTCAATATTGCCACTGGGTTATTTTTACACAGCACCAGCCACAGTGATACACTGGATAGGCTTGGGAGCCTAGGCTCTGCTCTGTGACCACAGCCCCCACCCGGACCAGAAGAGCCATCACCTTTGTATACACATGGCGTTGTTACCACTTATTGTCATTAACACCTGAAGCATCAAGGTCATTGCACAAAGAAAAGGTTGTTAGCCGGGAACTGTGTGGCCTTCCCAGGCTTCTCCTGTGGCCAGTTCCTGAGGGCTCCCCCCTGAGGCCACAGAACCTCTTGGAGAAGCATGAGAAGGAATCCATCCAGAGGTGCCCAGTCACACCCATGTGGGAGAGCTGAATGTATTCATCAATGAGCCCTTCAGTCAGCTCCCAAGGATCCCTTGTGTGTCTGTGGGCCAGGAGAGTCACGGTGCCTTCCCTCCCTGTGATCATCACTTACTGACACACAGAGAGGTCTTGGGGTAGGTGATTTGTCTGGGAAGCAGGGCATGTCAGTGGCTGAGATAGGGTCTCCGGCGCCTTCTTGGCTCATCCAACACTGACATCTTCCAGAGTCTTCCACACACTTCAATGTGTGTGAAATGAATCCCTCTGGCTTCGATCCCCTGAGGAACTTCCTGGTTATAGCGTCCTGCTCTGGGAAGCCCTGCAGGAAGGGAGGGGCTCATGTCCCCCGCTGCTCTATCCTAGTGTACCACAGGCCAGGGCCCAGGGGTCTAGCATGACCTTCTCAGGTGTGTAGAGGGTGCTCTGGCAGACACTCAACCTAACTCAACATCTCAGAACCTTCCTGAAAAAACAATTACAACTTCTCATCCCTTGACAAAATGAGAATGACAACAGCAAAAACAGTAAAACTAGCAAACCCCAGCAGAGCCATGATGTGGCCCAGGTCCCTCCGCTTGCTGTGGACAGTGCTGGACAAGGCTGGACAGTCCATGCCATGAAGGCCCTTTCTAATTCAGCTAGTTCATCTTCCCAGAAGAGCACAGGGCTTTCCAAGCACCTCGGTAACTACGGGTGCCTCCTGGCTACCCAGCTTGGAAATGGCATTGGACAAGCTGCTCATTTGGAAAGTGAAGCCATCACATGTCTGGACAGTGTGGCCATTTCTTTGTACCATACCCCCAACCCCAACTGTATAATGACTTCCCTCTTACTAACAAAGTTGGCCTCCCAAATATGGTTTGAACTGTCATCACAGGTTGGCCTGCAGCCCAACAGTCACCCTTAGTTCTTACCAGCCTGTTTATGTTCCTCTTTGGGATCTTGACTTGGAAACCTGGGTATGCCCTGAGTACTTTTTGGGGCTTACACCTTGGAGACTGGAGTTCAGACTGGTGGTGGTCACACTTGAAATTATGCTGCTTATCTTGACAAATGAGGCCCTCCAGTGGCCTTACAGGGACAGCCAGTCTGTTAGCAGCAGGCTCTGTTAGCTTTCTAGAAGATAGGAGGGCGTTAGCACCCCCTCGTGGCCTACTTGAGAAGGCTCGAGCCCAAAGCTAGACACCACACCCCTCCCTCAGCCTCACTCAGTAAAGCTGTGGGGTGGGCAGTGTGGAGGTGGATCTTTAAGCTTCAGGGATGACTTCAACTCTTCCTTGCTTGGGTAAACCACACCCACACTTTGGTAATCATTTCCCAAGCTGAAAGTGTATAAAAAAAATACCACCTTCTTTCTCCTTTGAATTTTTTTATTTCATGACCTCCAAGACCAGTAGACTGACAGGGCAGACTTTGGGAAAACTGGGTGACCCCTCCACCAAAGTTTTAGTCTCCCTGTCACATGTTTCCACGACTCTTCTGGGCCGTCCTGTTTAGATTTGGTGTCTTAAGCCTCCCTGAGCACATGCCTTTCCCATCCTCCTCTTGACAATTGACTGCAGGGTGCAGATGGTAGTGTGACTCCGCCAGGGCCCTTGGACCTGATTTCTCTTTCCCATAGGTCGAGTCCCTCGACTGGGGACTCCCTTAACTTCTTCCTGGTGTTGCTCTCTTTTCAAAGGTGCATCTTCCAGCAGCTCCTTGGAAAGAGTGTGTGGGAAGTGACTTTTGAGCCCCTGGGTTTCCAGAGCCACCTTTATCCCTTCCTGTCTTTCATGCTTTATGGACTAGAACTTGCAGGAAGGTTGTTTCTCAGGCTTCATTCCCACAGGGCTATTGTCCAACAAGCCCCACCAGATGATTCTGATCAGGTGTGTGGGACCTTATTGACAAGGATGGATGATGGATGGATGGATGATTGATATTGATTGGTGTCTCCCAGTTGGCTTTGTGTTTCTCTATAGAAACCCTCTCTTGGCAGCCAGTTTTGCTAAGCTTCATCAGGACCAGGACCGGTGCCATGGGTTCAGCTGCAGCTGATCTCACACACTGTGCCAGTTGCGGGGTGGGGGTGGGGCCTGAGAACTTCACTTTGCGATTTCTCTGACTCACTTTGCTGCATTTTCTCTGGTTCTGCCTGGAGTCTATGTTCTGGCACTGTCCCCCAGGCTCTCTCTCTCTCTCTCTCTCTCTCTCTCTCTCTCTCTCCCTCTCCCTCTCCCTCTCCCTCTCCCTCTCCCTCTCCCTCTCCCTCTCCCTCTCCCCTCTCTCCTGTGTGGAAGACCCCACTTGCTCCTCCAAATCCTCTTTTGTCATTTTTGATCCCCACCAACTGTCCAGTTCTTTCTGGTCTTGGTCTTAGATTAGTCCTCTCCTTTCTAAACAGTGTCCTATTTTTATTGTAAGGCATGCCAGGTTTCTAACCTCTGCATCTCCCTGTTTTCGTGTTTTTTTGTTTTTTTTTTTTCCCTTCTGGAATGTTCTGTTCCCTACAAATTGCTTCTCTGTTTTCCCTGCTCTCTCCTTCTTGTTGAACGGGGCTTCCTTGTGGCCAGAAAGGCTCATCTGGGAGTAGGGACTGAGTCCTTTGAGGTCTACCCTGACCCCCAGCAGCCTCCACTGGCAGTTCCCCAGATAACCCCTTCCTTCCAGAATAGCCAAAGAGGATCCTGGGGTGGGGGTTGCTTCTCATGCCTTCCAGCTGGGATTCATACACAGCAACAGTGTGAACATCCGCATCTTGTCCTGTTATCTGTCACATCCCACAGATAGTAGTTTACCAGTTTGACTCTGAACACTATGCCCTTAGCTTGTTAAGCTAAAAGTATTCAAGGATCTTTGACTTGTAGATGCTTAGTGGACTGAAGCAGAACACTCCCCAGTCAGCAGAAATGCATGAGATGAGCACAAGACCCCAAACTAGAAGTTGGGTCTCTGCTTAATTGGTGACCATTCGTGCTCGCACGTGGGTGCACGCATGAACACACACGCACACACACACTGCCATGTACACGGGCACAGTTACGTATGTGCTCACACACATAAGGACACACAGCCTCACACACGTGCACACACACTCTCGTGCCGACCACCTGAATGGACACATCTACCACTCAACTGTGGAGGACCCTCACCTGAAGGAGTGTGACTCTCAGTGGGAGTCACGTGGAGGGCTAGAAAGGGAACCCCAGCCGTGGCTGCTGCTCCTTACTCTCCCTCTCTTTTACAGGACTTCGTCGTTGGGCTCTCCATCCTGCTCCGAGGGACAGTCCATGAGAAGCTCAAGTGGGCCTTCAATCTCTATGACATTAACAAGGATGGTTACATCACCAAAGAGGTACTGGGCTGGCAGACCTGCCTGCCCCTCCTCTCCTGAGCGCCTGGCTCCCTCCTCTTCTGATGCCACTAGCCCAGTGATCCTCAGCTCTGCCTTGCGACCTTACCACACAGTCCCTCAGGTGGTCTTGTTTGACCCAAACATTCTTGTCTGAAACCATCCCTGCAGCTTCCTGTTTTGGAGACCGGTACATAAAAATCTATCTCCGGTTTCTCTTGGGAGTCATTGGATAGGAGGAGCTGGCTCACTCTCTGTAGCTCTCAGGCATCTCAAACTCACTCACCATTGTCCTGGTGTTAGCCTGGCCCTTGGGGATAACACTTAAAACCCCCAGGCATGTCTGCAGTGGAAGCAGCTCATACAGCCCTGTCCTCCAGGAGATGCTGGCCATCATGAAATCCATCTACGACATGATGGGCCGACACACCCACCCCATCCTGCGAGAAGATGCACCTCTGGAGCATGTGGAGAGGTTCTTCCAGGTATGTGAGCCCTCATCTTTGATGCAGGAGGTGGGGGGGCAGCCCTAGTGAGCCTGTTACCCTCGATGAGCCTTCAGTCAATGCCAGTGAAGAAACGTAGCTGGGCTCCCGGCCCTTGCTGATGTTCAGAGTCCCTCGGGGGAGTGAATGAAACCCGGGCCCTGCCCCAGTGAACTTCACCTGGAAAATGAAGTACTCTGGGCGAATAGGTGCAGAGGCAGCTGGCACCACTCAGGGACCAGTGTTTTAGTGCCTTTTGGGACATATTCAGTGCAAGCTCCCCTCCTCCCACGCTGAGTAGTATTGAAAAGTTGCCTCTATTCCGGAGGGGCTGAAGGAATCAATGATTTCCATTTTACATGTGTCATCCTGGCCTCTGTCCCAAAGTTGAGGGATTAGATAGGCTAGAGGGAATGCTGGGCCGCTAAGCTAAGATGAGCCAGCAGGAGTCCCCTAAGCAGGTCACCTGAGGAAGGATAAGGTTGGCTGGGAAGGGTGGGAAATAGTTGAGTTGGAGGAAGGCCCCCACCCCACCTCAGCGGTAGGGTCCGGAGGGAGACAGGCTCACCTTGGGTGTGGCTTGGGTTGCAGAAGATGGACAGGAACCAGGATGGAGTGGTGACCATTGACGAGTTTCTGGAGACCTGTCAGAAGGTAGGTGGCCTCAGGCGCTGGGCGTGAAGTCCTCTGTGGTCTTTCTGTGTCTGTCCTCTCTGTGTCTCTCCATCTGTCTCTGTGTCTGTTGCTCTCTGAGTGTCTGTCTCTGTGCACGCCCCCCCTCCCTCTCTCTCTCTACCTCTCTCCCTCTCTCTCTTTCTCTCTGTTTTTTCTCTTTCCCTCCCTCCCTCTCTCACTCCCTCCACCCCCCCTTCACACACAGGATCCTGCTCCTGCCAGGGCACAAGGAGGGTGCCATTAGCTGTCGTCAGGCCCCACTTACTGGGAACCTTCTATCTTCCTTGAGTCCATCTCCTTGCTGTCCCTTGAACTTGTCCTCTCCCTCCTTCATGCAGCCCTGACCCCCAGGCCCTCTGTCATCTTTTCTCATGGCACCTTCAATCAGAGAGCAAGCGTTGGGTCAACAGGAGGGTGATTAGCCCATGGGCCCCCAAGACAGAGTCACACTAAGGGAAAGGCACCCAGAGCCTTCTTGGCTCTGCTGCCAGCACTCGCCTCAGAGTCCTTGGGGACAGGAAACACGCACCACTGCCTCCTACCTCTTGTCCACCCCTGGTCCTGGCTGACTTGCAGCCTGAAGGGTTTTGTGTGTCAGTGATGACCCTGAAGTCCATCACTACGGATGACAGGCTATACCTTGCCACCTGGGCTCTGGGACCAGCTACTCCCCACTTCTCTGCTCCTCGGTAACCCGTCTACCCAGTGAGACATAGTCCATGACAGGAAGCGGCGCTTAGTCAGGGCTGTGGATAGCACTGCCCACCCATCTCCTGACCAGCCTGTCCTTTCTTCACACAGGACGAGAACATCATGAGTTCCATGCAGCTGTTTGAGAATGTCATCTAGGACACATGGGTGTGTCATCGCTTCTCAGCCTGGAGAAGCCTCAATCCTGCCTCACATGAGCAGCCTCTATGAGAAACATTTTTCTAACATATTTGCAAACACTGAACAGTTTAGTCCCAAGACAGACACACAGACACAGTCTCTCTCTTTATCACACACACACACACACACACACACACACACACACACACACACGGTTCTTCTGGCTTGACAGAGGAGGTGGCAGCCAGAAGGCACCCCAGCTATTCCCAGGTCAATCGGTGAGGCTGGGGTGGCCAGCCGGCCCTGGATGTTACCCAGAAGGAGCTCAGAGGGCTTGGTCTACAAAGCAAAGGTCCCTTGTGTCCTTTCTACCGCTCGGGAGACCAGGCGACTTCCTGCCCATGGACCTATGTTTCTAGGAAGCTCCCAGAAACCCTGAAGGAACCAAGAGGGAGGAGGTTTGAGTAGTGGAAAAATAATGATGGAAGCGAGCCTGCTAATGTTCACCTGGGCTCCCAGAACCCTAGTGCCAGGCCACCTATTGTGGGGTGGGCTTAGACAGGGAGCAGCCACTGGGCTATGCCCTTTAAGAGCAGGGCAGGATGGAGGTTTTTGGAGAAGCTGGGGAAACAATTTGTCCATACTATTGGGTGATGGATCAGACTATCAACTGGCCAATTGGAATGTGGTGGGCAGAACTTTCCCAACTCCCAGCACCAGGCTGATGTCTCCAAGATCCTCTTTGGTTCTACAGGGAGGTCACCTGGCTCAGGGACTGATAACCAGGGAGCTGGACTGTATAGGAAAGGCCTGGAGGCTGGGGGAGGGTGCGTTTCTCTCCTCTTCCCTGGCCACTTGCTACTCAGTTCACAATGGATAGGCCACAGCACTGTGGCTGCCCTTGAAAAGGCTCGTCCCAACCCATACAAAAAGCACAAACACCCTAGCAGCTCAGGCCATGCCCACAAGGGGAGGCAGGGGCCCCCTGGTTGGGGGAGACCTGTGTCCCTGCAGCCCTGACTCAGTGGCCCGAGAAAGATGCTCAGAATCCACCCTGTGCCTCAGAGCCTTGGGGTCTCACAGCTCTTTCCTAGCCCAGTTCGCCAACATTCTAAAGCACAAACCTGAGGCCTGTGCTTGCCTAGGCTGCACCCTGGAGATGGTAGACCACATCAGCTCTAACCTGAAGCTAGCCATGAGTATGGGGACCTGTGCCAGGCAAGGTCAACAGATCCTCAGGAAGAGCTGTTCCTGCCTGCCCAGGCTTCCCCATAAGGGACCGTGTCCCAGGCAGCATGTTACCCAGAGGAACATTCCCACAAAAAACATTCCATCAACTGCAGCCTGGTCTCTGCTCAGGCCCAGGTCTGAGAGTCCCTGGGTCTCTCTGAGAGTCCCCAGAAGGCCAGCCCCAGGTTAAAGGAAGTCCTTGGAAGGAAGGCAGGGTGACAGTGACCCCCATACACAGGTGGCTCCCCCTCTCAGGACTGCACTGACCCCATCTCCATCCTGACTGGGGCCCCTTTTACCCCATCTAAAGACCATCAGCTTTCCCTGGCTCAGGGACCTCCTCTACCCAAGCCTGACCCTTCCCACTGGGGTTCCTGTGCTTGTGAGAAACCAAGGCCTCGGGAGAAGGTTACCACTCTAGCCCGCCCCACCCCTTAGCCTCTGGCTGCACACCCAACCAGGAGAGGTCTGTCCCCCTTGCAGGGGGACATAGACTGGCCGCATGTCTGCATGGCAGAAGCGTCTCCCTTGGGTGCAGCCTGGGAGGGTGGTTCCTATCTCAGTGCCCACCAACATTCAGTCCTATATATTTTAATAAAATAAACTTGACAAAGGAGATGGACTGTCTTCAGATTTATCTGAACTGTCTGTCAGTCATTCCCTCCCCGTTGCTGTCTACTACCATTCCTGCTCAGTGTCTTGATAGTGAGCAGACAGATGGCTCTGAGGGAGGGAGTATCCAGAAACCCTCAGATTCCTGGTGTGACATCACTAAGAGGAAAAGGGCGCATACCACAGGCCCTGGGGACCTTCAATGGATGCTCAGGGCTGTTGTCTTGAACACACAAGACAGTGGAACTCAGCGGCTTTCTGCGGTGTCATTTATATTTCATCCCCAGATCATGTTTCTTTCCAGTTCCAGAAAGTCACTTCTGAGTGTCCTCTGGCAAGGGAAGGCAGGTCGTGTGGAAGAGAGGCAGGAAAGAGATAGCGATGTAGCCTGGATGGTAGAGCACTTACCTAGTATTCATAGAGCCCCAAGTTTGGCGCCTAACACCATGTCGACTAGGCACCACACGCTTGTAACCCCAGCACTCAGGAGGAAGAGGCAGGAGGACCAAGGATCAACTGTATGGTCAGTCTGAGTCCAGCCTGGGCTGCATGAGACTTTGTATGTGTATATCCGTGTGTCACACAGCAGGGAGAGGACTCTCTGCTGGGGTCAGGGGTTGGAGGATGGTGGCCAGGTGGTTATTTGTGGCTGAACAGACAGCTACTCGGAACAGGCACGTGATGAGGGGATAGAGCACCTTGCAAGCAGCCCCACTGGACAGCAGACTGAGGAGTGCCTGACAGAATAAGATGACAATGGTAAGGCAATCCCATGTGGTCCTGGGCCATCCTGAGCACACAGGGCACCCAATAGCACCCATGGCAGTTATTGGGGACAACGGCTATACAGGCAGTCAGCTGTATGACCTGGACAAGTCACACAGTCTCACTTTCCTCCCTTGTGAAATAGGAAGAGAGAGAGAGAGAGAGAGAGAGAGAGAGAGAGAGAGAGAGAGAGAGAGCACTGCACTGTACAGCAGAGTCAGGCTTACGTTACACGAGCACAAGGGTATTCAGTCTGACAGTGGAGTCTACTGGAATACGGGGGCTCCCACGGCTGATTCCTCTCTGCCTCTGCCTCAGTCATGAGGGTGTCTTCCTGCTCCCCTCCTGTGAGATTGATTATCTTCGTCTCTGAAGGGCACGCTCCCCAGAGGAACAGCTGTTCTAGCACCTTCCTTCCGAGTGTGTGTGTTCGCACATGTAATCTTAGCCCCCTAGGAAGCTGAGGCAAGAGGACTGATCCATGAGTTTGAGGACAGTTTGGCCTACACTGACTTCCAGGCTAGCCTGGGTTATTCAATGAGGCCTGCCTCAGACAGGAAGACAAAAACTGTGCTTCCTGCCCAGCTTCCAACAAGCGCATGGATTGGCTGCTCCTTGGACCAGGTGTCAAGCCTGACCCAACCAGCTCTGGGCAGCACTTCCCCACTCACTGACAGGGTTTGGGCACGAAGGCGGCAGGTTTGGGTCACTGGAGAAGAATTTCTTGTCCCTGCAAGCCTACCCTGAAGGTAGAGACGGATGCTCCAACACACAATCCCAGTAATTCCTTAACATGTACCATGCTCTAAAGGCCTTTGACATCTGGGGCAGAGGTCCCATGCTTCCACTCTGGAACTTTCTGCCTTATTCTGAGGCTAATGTCACTGAAACTCAATGCCCTTATCTGGGAAAAAAAAAAAAAAAGTCCTTTATTCACACTACCTTGACAATTGAGGGCTGTCTGTCTCTCTTGAGACAGCGTCTCATTGTGTAATTCAGTCTGGCCTCCCCTTCACTGGTCCCTTAATAGATGTATTTGTCCTTCCTCCACACTAACGTTTTTGTGAATTACTTCCCATTCTATAGTAGCACAACTCACACCAATAAATCATCAGATAAAGGACATTTGTGATGGTCTCCAATTTCCCTGGTCACCCCAAAGTTCATGTAGGGAACAGCCTGCTAAGGTGGGCAGTCTGCACCAGTAAGACTAAAGCCAGTGAGCTAATGTCCACATGCCCCGTGCCTTGTACTACCTGCCTTACTATCTGACCCAAACAGAAAGAGGGCCCAGAGCCAGCTCTGATCATTAGGGACCTGGCATGTCACCATGGCCTATGAAGTAGACCTCGTATTACCTTGATAACACAGTATGGGGAAAGTTAGGCCCCACATCTTCTCCTCCTGATGCTCAGCCATACAGCTTCCCAAAGAAATGGCCAGACTGCCTTTTAGAGTCTTCTCTTGATGGTTCATACAGCCTGCAATCTGGTTGCCCTTCCTAGTGTCGTGTCCCCTACTGACCACCAGGGGGAGACAGCGCCTCTTCTCTTTTCATCTCTGACTCAAGGTCCCAGGGGAAGACAATGATGGAAGGGAAACTATCTGTCATTTCCTTCAGTTCCAAAGACATTTTCCTATTTCTGCTTCATCCTTTTCGGGGTTTAAAAAATAAAAAGCACCACTCAAGAAATAATTCCATAAATGCACCCAGAATTAACCAAACTGGGTGTGGGGGAAGGGACACAGGAAACCCCTCACACACATAACCACTTGGCCTTGTTCTTAAAAACCTTGGGAGGAAAAAAATGTCCCGAGAATCCCCCTCATGGCTGACAGCTGGGTCCCCATCAGTTTCGGGAGGCAGGAAGAAGACTGGTCCTGGGAAAAAATGTCAAAGAGCTGAAAGGCAGTTTCTCACTGGACTGGACTTCAAAACATCCGCCCCCGCCCCCTTGAAGGCAGAGTTCTTTGTGCAGCCTCAGGACTCTTGAGTCTGATCTTTGTTCTGTGACCTGGAACCTTCAGGGACTTCAGCACCAGCCTTTGTCCTTCAAACTCCGGCAGGCCTCATGGAGACGATGGAGCTGAGGGCTGCCTTCCTAGACAGTTCCTACTTCCCTGCCCTGTCAAGCTGCAGTTCCTAAACTTAGATTAAGGGGGATGCTTAGCTAGTTTCTCGACCTCATCCACACTGGAGGCCATGGCCTGAGGAAACTGTGGTGAATGTGCTGAGATCTCTGCTGCCTGGAAACTCAGGTCTCACAGAGACACCAGAAGGCAGGAGAGGGGTACAAGGCTGATTCTGATGACGGGGATAGTACCTGGGCCACAGGTTGGGAGACCACACTTGTGAGGGGTGACACAAGAAGACCTGCCTTTCCAGAGAGCCGTGTCTAAACAAGAGCAGGCACCGGGAAGATGGTTCCATGGGTAAAGAGCTTGCTGTGCAAGCATGAAGACCTGGGTTCGGATCCCAACACCCACATAAAAAGCTAGGTGTCATGGCACA